GCTTCACCCCTAGGGTTGGAGTGATTGGTGTCACAGCCTTAGAGGGAGGGACAGCTGCTGAGGACATGGAATTTACCCCCTTGCAGGGAGACACTCGGGGTATTATTCCCTGGGGATCGCAGAAATGCTGTGTCCTGCAGCCAGGGGCAGCGCTGTATTCAAACTCAGCTAATTCTTACCCCCATGGCCTTAGTCCCCCCTTTCCCATCTACCTCAACCGCTGCTCCTCTCTTCCACGCACTACCGAAGCCCCTAGCCCACTTCTTTGCAGCAACTCATGGCTCGGTCTCCCTTGCCATCCTTTGGCACATTTTCCCCACTCCCCCTGCCAGACATCTTCCCCCAGCATTACCTGCTCCTCTGGCTGTTGGAGCTAGTTTTTGGCAGTTCCACTCCCACCTCACTGCATCCTCCCTCCACAATTTGTAGTCCCATTTCTGATCCACACACACACAAAAATGGCCATATGGGATCAGACCAATGGTCCATTCAGCCCAATATCCTGTGGTTTTTGTCCAACCTGCTTTTAAAAATCTCTAATGATGGAAATTCTACAACCTCCCTAGGCAATTTATTCCAATGCTTAACTATCCTGACAGGAAGTTTTTCCTAATGTCCAACCTAAACGCCCTTGCTGCAATTTAAGCCCATTGCTTCTTGTCCTATCCTCAGAGGTTAACGAGAACAATTTTTCTCCCTCCTCCTTGTAACCACCTTTTATGTACTTGAAAACTGTTCTATCCCTCCCTCTGTCTTCTCTGCTCCAGATTAAACAAACCCAATTTTTTAAAATCTTCCCTTAAAAGTCATGTTTTCTAGACTTTTAATCATTTTTGTTGCTCTTCTCTAGACTCTCCAATTTGTCCACATCCTTCCTGAAATGTGGTGCCTGGAACTAGACACAATAGTTGAGGCCTAATCAGCCCAGAGTAGAGCAGAATTACTGCTCATGTCTTGCTCACAACACTCCTGCTAATACAGCCCTGAATGTATGTTTTGTGTGTGGGGGGGGGGAAAGAGGTTTGGCGCAAGTGTTTCACTTAACTCGTATTTAGCTTGTGATCCACTATGACCCCTCTATCCCTTTCCGCAGTACTGCTGCCTAGACAGTCATTTCCCAGTGGGTATGGGTGCAAACTGATTGTTTCTTCGTAAGTGGAGTACTCTGCATTTGTCCTTTGTGAATTTCATCCTAGTTACTTCAGACCATTTGTCCAGAACATTTTGAATTTTAATTCTATCCTCCAAAGCACTTGCAATCCAGCCCAGCTTGGTATCGTCCAAACTTTGTAAGTCTCCTTTCTATGCCATTATCTAAATCATTGATGAAGATATTCAACAGAACTGGACCCAGAATTGATGACTGTGACACACCATTTGATATGTCCTTCTAGCTTGACTGTTCATCTGTGTCTGATAATTCTGTTTAGTTCCAACCACTTTTTCTGAAACTGAAATTAGGTTTACTGGCCTATAATTGCCAGGATCATCTCTGGAGCCTTTTTTTAAAAAATCAGCCATTACATTAGCTACCCTGACATCATCTGGTAGAGGCTGATTTAAGTGATAGTTACATACCAGTTAGTAGCTCTGCAATTTCATGGCAATTACAATCCATAGCATGGCATTTGTGCCCTGCACTGCCTCCAGCGCAGAGAACTCTGGGATCCCTGCTGCCTTGGGAACACAGCAGTGGTACCTCAAGATATCCAAAAGTACTGCAGCTGCAGAGTGGATAGAGATGCCGAGTTTCCGTTTGAGAATAAAGCAACAGCATGAGCCTGGGTGGGGGCCCAGGCAGCATGGCAAGCTATGCCAGGTGAATAAATGACTTGAGCTGAGCTTCAAGTGCTAAAGTCACATTTCTGCCTCAGGTGTGCATGACCTGACTTTGCAAGGTGGTTTGCAGCGAGACAGCTGAGTTTGGATTCTTTTAATTGAAAGTCCTGGATTCTAACGTCACATTTAGGGTGTGTCTACACTACCTGCCGGATTGGCAGGCAGCGATCGACCCCCAAGCGCTCTCCCGTTGACTCACCACAGTAAGTCGATCTAAGTACATCAGCTTCAGCTACGTTATTCACATAGCTGAAGTTGCATAACTTAGTTCGACCCCCCCACACCCCCCGCCCATGTAGACCAGGCCTTAGATAGTGGAATAATCTCACAAAGGCAGTGGTAGAAGCCCCACTAGGGGGGTGACAAAGCTAAAACAAATCACTGCAGAATAGAGTATTTGTCTGAAGGAGGTGGGAAGAAGAAAACCACAGTCCAGCCAGACAGACAAGGTAAGACCTATTCTCCCCCTACCCCATTTCTAATTCCTATGATTTAATCAGGCACAGTAAAGAGATGTCAAGTATTTAAGAAAATGTTACACACCAATAAACACAGGAGGTGGTAGGGGACTCACCTGCTCTCAAAGTGAAATTTCCAACTGCTCTGCTGCTGACGAAGGCTAGAGCATCTGCGAGATAGCTGGGGCAACAAAGCCACATACTCCGCATCTGGAAGAGCAGGATTCATGGGGGATTCAGAGAGTTTCTGGTGAGCAGAGGTCCCTTTCCTTGCTTGCAAGTCCAGAACAAGTGGGCTGCTCAGTCCCAAGGATATTTTTGGCATTGCTAAGTGTAACCTTCTGCCACGTTCATTCATTTCACTGAGTAACTTCCCAAAGGCGGTGGTGAGAGTTAGTCCTGGAAGAGTTCTCTAAGCCTCTTTCCCTGAGCATCTGCCCGCTTCCATTTTAGCTCAGGTCTAAATTAACATGAATAATTCAGTTGTTGAACTATGTAATATTCATAAGTGATGAGTAAAATGGGACCTAATTACCACCCAAACCTAAAGGGACGTTAGCTTGTGCATGTAACATGAGGACTTGCCTACAATCTTGCCAGACAAATGGTTGCGTTAACACAGAAAATGCAACATTAGACATCCCTCTGCATCTGAAACCCTCATATTTTGTAGTTGCTTGAACGAAAGAGCAATGACTTTTAGGAGATGCCAAATAACTGACTGAAATCCCTTTTCCTGGGCAGATTGTCCGGTATCTGAACAAATGTTTAAGTGATTGTATGGATAACTGAATATCAGCTCAGTTCAATGCACAAAAGCCTGATGGCAAACTCCGCATTGTGACTGTGGGGCTAGATTCCCACTGCTGCTTTGCCACTATACCTCACTACTGGCCTGCAGCCCCCAGCTCTGGGCCTGTTGAGCAGGTACTGCTAACCATACTAAACAGGGCGGTTCGGTAAGTTTGACTGAGCACACAGGATTGGAAGCTCAATTATACCACTTCTTGTCCCACTTGCTGATGTACTACTTTTGGGAGCGAGGTTAGGAAACCAAAAGCCAAAACAGAAGTCGCTGGTATTACACTTCAAGCACCTGTAATGTACATATGGCTGATTGTTCACTTACAGCATGGTTACACTTCCCACAATTATGTACATTCTCCAATCCAGTACTCTCCTCCCCTCACAAGTAACACCCCAAGAACTGCCAAGAATGTTCCCAGGACATTTAAGACACTAAACTCCATTTTTAAAACTTAGACTGGCCTCCATGGGGCTGACAGCAGGTTTCCTACTCAAATTCCCATGGCTTGTCGGGCTGCTGTTCAGTTTGACCCATGAGCAATGAAACAAAAGGCTGCTTCTCCCGCTACCACCCTTCCACTGTAACCCATTAATCAAGCTGTTTTAAAAAATTTTCTACAGCATTGTAGAAACTTATGATTGATCTTTTTATTTGAAGATTGGTTACACATGGGGAAAATTTAGCTGGTTTTGTTAGTGTGGATTAATGTAATTACAGTAACCTGCGCTGTTGTAATGTTTACTCCCAAGCCTTGGCTAGCAAAGGAATATACACCTCTACCCCGATATAACGCGAATTCGGATATAACGCGGTAAAGCAGTGCTCGGGGGGGGGGGGGGGGGGGCACACAGGGCTGCGCACTCCAGCAGATCAAAGCAAGTTTGATATAACGCGGTTTCACCTATAATGCAGTAAGATTTTTTGGCTCCCGGGGACAGCATTATATCGGGGTAGAGGTGTACATGTAATAATGGCTATTGGCAGAGCATAAACTTCATCAGCTGTTCCATATTACATGGCAGGACAAGATCAGAAATATGGATATTCAAAGCTAAACACAGCAACCACCTTCCATCCAGCACTGATTTGGTTGTGGCAGCTTTCTTGGTATAGACATATTAGACTGGAAGACCAACAAATTCCCAAGTGTGTTCACCAAGGACTGCTGCTACAGGGTCTGCAATCACATGGATGCCAAAAGGTTTGATGGCACAAGACTACCAGTGATAAACTGAATGTCCAGCCAAACCACTTTAAGGACCTAGACAGATCAATCCAGGTGAAGCTTCATCTGCAATGAAGCCACACACCTTTGTGATTTGTCATCATGAGAGCATAAACTTAGCTGCTAGCTTGACTCTTTCCTTGGAGAAAAGTAAAGACATGATAGGCCGCCTTTGCTAGACTTAAATCCTTATCCACACACTGAAGTAATAAAGCATCACAGCAGGATTGGACCGCTGTAGGATTCATGCTTGCTCCACAACCAACCTTATTTTGCAGAAAGTAGCTGACCCTGGCTAATGAGTAACTGCAATTTTGAGATCTACTGCTGGAGAAGCAGTTGGTCTGATTAAGAACCTGATCTCTGTAAGGGAGCACTTTGGAACAAGATGCTTTGTCTAGTAAGAACTTTCAGGATCAGGCTTCTAGTTTTGTAAGCATGATAGGCAAGCTCCCATCCCAGCTCATGCAGCTGCCTATTTCTTTCTATGCTTCATTAGGGTCTTGGGTTTGCCTTGTTCAGTACAGATGCAGCTTAGGGGAGGTTCATAGATTCTATCTTTATGCTCCACTCCCATCGCCACCTCATTTTTAGCAGTGATATCCAAAGTACATAAATATGTTCAACTAAATGAACTTCTGGAGTAACAAACTTAAGAAAACAAGTGTCATCTGTATAAGCAATTGAATATTTTATTGAAAGAAAAACATTGCCACTTAAGTCCCTGGCTCCTCTCCACTGGGTTCTGGACTTCATACACTGCTTCTTCCTGTGAATGCAAAAACACAAAGTTAGCCCAAAATCTAGAGAAGTTACCAGCAATCTTCATACATAGATCACTTTAAAAAACAAATATTGAATGAACACAAAAAAAAATCATGCATCTGGAACAAACATTCTTTAGCAATGTATATGAGCTTTCAGGATACAGCTGGAATGAAGTGAATAGCATAGAAACAGGGACATAGAAGCAGTTCTGAATTGGACTACATAGCATTAGGATCAAATCATAAGGATCTTTACATCATTGGTTTCAAATTTTAAGTGTTCATTCTGCCTAAAGGATAGATCAGATGCATACAACCATCAACAGTGCAAAAGAAAATATTTAGCAAGTTTCCCCGAGGCCTGTGGTTTTAAATACTGGCATAATATTTTGTAAGTGTTTTAGACTGAGGTCTGGGTCAAATGGTGGAGAAAAAAGATTTTTCTAGTTTAATTCCAGCTCTGCAGATTCCTCCTTATGGTCCCTGCATACTACCTCCAGTCTGCTTGCTTCCCCACATATAAAAACATATAATATTGATTCACCTACCTTGCGGGATGCTGTGAAGTTCAATTGTTTGTAAAATGTTTTGAAGATGAAAAGCAGAACCAATATTTTTATATCAAGTTTAATTTATGTAATTGTTTTACTCAAGTGTTAAGCTATCTGCCCTAGACCTTTCTCCTCCTAATGCACCATGCTTTTCTTACGGTGCTTGAAATTAACATGTTAGGTTCCTTGTGTGTGTCTGAGCATCTGTAGAGTTCAATGAGCAGGGTTTATTGATGCTGCAGAGCCGGAAAGCCTCAAACAATGCTTATCTTGGTTCTACAAAAGAAAGATTAAAAGGTTTTATATAAAATCCATTAAAGAATGACTTCTGATCTTAAGAATCTATATTAAGATCAGGTCAAATTTTAGGTGGAAACTGCTAAGTACACTTGGGGTCATTTCTTCTTACAAATTCAGTATCCCAAGATTAATCTACTACTCACCCATTCACTTCGCAGTCTGGCTACTCCACATCACTGGACATCAGGTCACATTCTGGATTGTGCTCAGGCCCTACTGCTGTATGAGGAAAAACTACCTAAGTTAATGTCTTCCATAAAATGATTTTATACCCCCAAATATAAGTCACTATTTGGGGACTCTCAGTTTGGCCATTCCTTTTATGAGGTGCAGCATCTCAGCAAAGTAGAGGCCCTGGAATTAAGAGGAAGTTGGAGTCTAAAGTGACCAAGCAAAAATGACAGTGTGCATAATTCTAACTACTTATCTGGAGGTGTAAAAAGCACGTTAACTGTATAGCAGGGGTTCCCAAAAACGTATTCAGAGGGTGAACCATTTCAACAAGATTGTTTGAGACTTACCTACCCTCCCCCTCATTCGCTATTATAATGGGCTGCCTGTGGCAACTATCAATTGCTTACACAAAAATGTAAGTTTAGCTTTTTAACTCAATTTAGCTACTGGAAACAACCACCACCAGCACTACTCCACAGTCCTTTACACCAGGTTCTGAACGTTTTTTTTAAATGAAAGATTAACAGATATGCTTACTTCACATGGATGAGCACGTTGATTTCACTCAGCTTGCATCATCTTCACCTAAAGGATAACAACTGAAGTTATTATAAAAATATACACACTAGAAAGTTTCTGAAAACAAAGTTCTAACCCATTACAAAATTCTAACCTTTAAAGTAAAAGTTTAAAAGATACATGGACTGATTAGTTATGAGGGAATTTACAAATTATTCCAAAATACTAGGTGGAAGTAGTATAAGGGGCAGAAGTAGGCTAGTCTAAACACTTGTAAGAAAGTAAAAGAATATGCAGGTGGTTGAGTGAAGAACTGCACCTAGTCTGAACACCAAGGCATAACTGCTAGCTTCACCAGTCTGAATACAATGAAGTTTGATTGCAGTCAGAGGTATACTATCCCTTATGTGAAGGTATGTAACTGTGAAACTAGACTAGTTATTTAACCACAGTTTGGCTTATCTGTAGTAATATTACATGCTCCATATGGATGAAGCAAAGTGTCCCTGATACTAGCTGTGCCCAGCCCAAGAATCCTACAAGTGCATTGCAATCCAAAGGAAGATACTAGAGTTTGTCATGCGCTTATTACCTTTGTTCTATGTCACAGCTTTTCCTCCCTCTGCATATTAAGCCTTTCACTACAGCTTTGTTGAGGGCAAACTGCAAGGGGCTGAAGATCATCTACTCATCAGCAACTAGGGACAAGTCTGTACAAAGTTCTGTGCACACTATTAGTTGGAGGCAAAGCACACTGCCTTCACAATGCTACTTAGCCAGCCAAGTGGATCAGACACCCAAATTTAGTATCAAACCAACCTCTTGGTACAGTGTTGAGACTAAATTATAAGTCGACAAAAATGTAGTATGCACATTGTTTTCTATGCTGTGGTACCAAACACCATGCATAAGGGATACTATATCTTTGTGCATCTTTTTAACACTCCAGATTATGCACTTGTAGCCACCCCCCTTTTCCCCAGTTAGCTCTTCAGTACTGGTGTTCAAAAGCAACATTTATAGATGGGGTATTCACAGCCCACTGTGGGATTGCACAATCAAGTCCTAACTTGTCAATCATTATCTAGCAGCAATGACAGACGGGGGAGAAGGCCAATCCTCCCATTTTTTCTTTTCCAGTAGGCAGCCATTTAAAAACCCCACTAGCTGATATGAGAGAAATCAGAAGCTGATCAGTTGATTCCAGCCTTGCTAGTAGTGGAAGAAGCCAAGTAACAGTCCAAACAGCACACTATTTATGCAATTTCTCCAACATGCTTAGCCTCATTTAACATGTTACAACACACAGGCCTTCCTGATCGTGTCACTGCAGCTGGCAATGATTAACAGACATGCAACCCCAATACCACTCAAGTCCTAAAACTACTCACAGGCCTCAATATTTATCTGTTTAGTGTTTTGCTATTGGGGAAACTGCAAGCAAGACTTGGTATGCTTAATGTTACAGTAAAACCCCCCATATGCTACACTGTGCTGTGCTCTCCCCTGACAGCACCAGAATCTGATCTAACAGGTACGCATATGTATTCTGGCACCACACTTCCGAGCTTCAGATAAACTTTTGGGAAAAGTATAATTCATAGAGAAAAAGATAAAACCAAGATGAAACACAATGCAAGCACTTCAGTGTACTGTTATTTCTCATACCCACTTATTACAAGTTGTTTGCTTAAAATAGACATGCCTATTTGTTTTTAAGAGACCTACTGCACCAAGTTTCATTACTGAAGACAATTCAAAGCTAGTATGAAACCCATTGCTTTGTCACAAATTGCTTGCTCCAAGAGTGTCAAAAGCCTATTACCATTCCAAATATGCAGAAGGTAGATGTGTCCATATAACCCCTCCATGATAGTCCTGAAGGCAAGTCATGTGTCTAGTAAATACTCAGCACACTGGCAAAACTGAACAGACCTGACTGTTGGTTTAGAGATACCTAATAATCCAATTCTTGCAGTTTCACAGCAAACATACTGCCATCGATTTCATTACTGAATTTTATTCATAGAAAAGCTCTAAAGTCAATGGCAACAGACAAACTGGCTTAGATACGAATGGTGTCACAGGTTGAATAGCTGAAGTTCAGCTACACATTCAATGTAACTAAAGAGCTGTTACTGTCTGAGTTATGAAGTGCAGAAATTACTTTGATTTTTCAAAAGAACATGAATACAAACAGCAGAGGGCAAGCCTATCTAAGTTTATAAACTGCTTACCAATGAGTAAGATTCTTTCTTGGAAGATACAATACAGAAGTTTAATGTCTAAATTTGACAAAAATGTACACCAGAAACAAGTATGCAAAGTAAAACTTTGCATCTCAAGTAGAAAAACCCTTGCAATACCTCTGAAAAAGGTTTCTTATGCATTGCCAAGAACCAGATCAGGGGATGAAATAAGGAAACGTATGACATTCAGACTCTGGAGTTACAGCTAACTAGCACAACAAAGCAGATAGGAGCTGAAGGTCAACACATTCGGAAGTTTGGAAACATTTAGGTATGTAACCTTTCGAAATACCGTATCTGGTATTTCTAGCAGTGATGAATTTAGAATAAGCACACACTTGAAAGATATTTTGATGAAAAATTAAGCTACTTCGATCAGTACATTCACTACCAAGATGAATATTTAAAGACAGGAATCCATAGATTCCCAGCATAGTCAGTTGCCTTTAATTGAACATATATCATGATCACTGCCACCTAGAAATTAAAAACAAACATATCTTAAGTTGATAAACCCTGAAAACTAATGGAGATATTTGAACACAATTTATGACCTAAGAAGTACTTACACCCAAGTCTTAAAGCTCACCAGTGAGCTTTACATCTTTATCGCCTAGTTCATTCAAGGCTAGAGCAATGATTACCAATGTATTTTCTAAGTAGCCAAGACTCTACAAGGGGATGCACTGCAGATGGGATATTTTGCTATTACAGAAAGTTAATACAAGCGACAGGTTTTCTAGGTGCAATTTGCACCTAGTTGACTAGTTAAATGATTCTAAAAATCACATTCCCTCTTCCCCACAGAGCTCACCTAAGAATATCTTCATTACAATGTACTTAAGAAAATCCACACAAGCCAAGTCATATATGTACAAAGGAATCGGGTCTGTGATACTTATCTAAGAATCGCAATAAGTTGCTTATTGCTGCTGAAAAAGATACAGCTTAAAACCGAAAGCCACGCAACTTTGATGCAAGCTAAACATACAAGTATGAAGAGTGCTGCACTGTAATTTCATAGTCGGAAGTGTGATGTCAGAATACCCACAGAATAAGGTTACACAGAAAGTCACCAAGTTATATTATATTGCTTGTTACCTACCTGTACGCAGTCGGCAATGAGAATCTCGGAGCAAGCAGGAATACTACATCCGGGTCCTAATGTCCATTGCCATTTGTGGTACTACGTTCCTCACAGTTATGAACTGCAGAAATGCTGGCTAAGTGCAGTTATGTAGCAGGCCACTACTTTTAAGAGTGTAAAATTGCAGTCTCAAAAACTCCAGCAAAAACTTGCTGCCACAGTAAGTGGTTGCCGCCAAGGAGAAGCCAAGAATTTTTCTACCATAAAAATACCACAAAATCTCTCAAAAGCAGTTTCAATTTCTCATAAGCTGTATTTCTATTAGGTGGTGTGATGTATCTACATAGTACTGTAGATATGCTCTGTATTCGTTTTTAAGGAAGTGTGAAAACATGCAAAAGGACACCCATTTCTATATGCTGCATAACAGATTAAAAGTTTAAATGGGCTCAATTTAATTAAAGCAGTCTAAATTGCAAAAGCCAATATTTTCTCTAAGTCCAATACAAAAAAAAGTTCTATACGGTCTAGACCATCTGGAAATGGGTCTGCCAGACCAAGGACTTTTCTTAATGGATTTGAAAACCCTTTTCTTCAGTTATGTAAGTCACCTGACTTTGTGAATACTCCAAAACCACAGAACCATGGGGAAAGACCAAAGGAACATGACAACTTCCTTAATACCTCCCACCAACTTAATAACTGGGTATAACATTTTAAAATTCTGACATTTGTCTGTCAGCTTTTAAGACAGTACCTTTAAAAAGGTTCTGAAATCAAATTGGCCAGAAGCTACTGTATGCAACTCAAAGCAGGACTTGATTGTTTTAAAAAGTCTGCTTATGCAACTACAACACAGGGTACACTGTTTAATAAAACTATTTCAAATGTTGTAGAAACTGCTGAATCTTTCAGTATATGTTTGCTAAACACAGTTTAGCAAACGGTCTATTTTTAAGACCCAGCAACAGCTTACATACAAATAGGGGCACTAAAAAGAAAACCTCTGCAAGGTAATGATTAGGACATCAGCATCCTTCACTCTTCAAAGTTACAGTACTACAAAAGAAAGCATTTTGGGATATGTGCCAGCATCTCTTTAATAAAGAATGACATGTAATCTGAAAAATAAACTGAAAAAAATTAATTTAATGTTTACTGTCAGAGTTCCCCATCTCAGACATTTTCACCCTCTGTGGGTGTCCACGAACACCCTTTTGAAAGTATTTGCGTTGAGCCCCTACTATAAAATTCATACAAGTTGTAATTGGACTGCTGATTTTAAACTAAGAATCCTATACAAAGGATCCCAGACACTTGATCTCCACAGTTTAAGAACTGCCGATCCAAGATTTCCTACATTTCAATTCATAGAGGTAAAGTGTCATCTACCCTCTTTAAAAGTTCTGGGAAAATAGGAACAGATTTGCCAAACTGGCTGAGTCTCTATTTAGACACTTAATATTTAGTCACACACCTGATTATCAACATTTCACAGCTTGCCAGTATTACATTTAAAGTTTAACAGCATTTAAACAGTGCTCACTTCTGAAGACAGACTGTTTGTATTCCAAGGTAATGAAATCTACGCCCTAAAACTTTTATCCATACACAGAATTTAGGATTAGCCAATGCTTAACACAAACAGTGGAAAGACCTTCTAACAATTAAAACTATTCACAGAATGCTCAACATTTTGGGAGTCAGGTAAAAATACAACCAAACCAAATAAGTTTGCCAACTTTGCACAAGCAGGTTGATGTATCCTGTCTTAATACCAAGGCATTTTACACTGGGAAGCTATGCTCCCAGCTTGTCAGGTACAATCACAGTAATGAAGTAACTACATTAATAACAGAGTCCAGAATACCTTGCATTCTTATGGGGTTTAATTAAGTGGACAGCAAACTGTAAATTCATGAAACCATTTCCTCCGTCAGAATCTTAAGAGGGAGTTTTATTTGTACTATGTAGCATTAGCTATTGAACTCCAGGTTTAGTCCTACTCTTGCCTGCCAAACATCAGCATTAAGATATCTGACAATATCAAAACAGGGGTTCTCAACCAGGAGGTGTGGTTAGCTGAGCCAAACTTAAGTGGCACTGTGACCTGGCACATGGGCAGCAGAAGCTCCGAGTAAAAAAGAAATGCTAAGACTGGACATGACTCAAAAAAAGCTGAGAACCCTGCTACAGTGCAAGAGGCTATTTATTTATCTGAATTTAACATGATGCATTTTAGGATTTAAGTACTACAAGGTCTATGAAAGAAGACTTCAGTTTTTACAGACCCCTGAAATTAACCCCAGTTGATTTCTGAACTGTAAGAGTTAGTTCACTTACTTAGCATAAGGACATAAGCAACTTAGAGCACAAATTAAAAATCTCCTTGTTTTACTTAGGTAATACTCCCTGGTCTTCTTGCCAAGCAATTTCAGTTAGGTATTAAATACTGAACCAGGCCAATCCTGCATCTCAGGCAGACAGCTTACGTATAAAACAAATGTGTGTCACGTTTACAGCCCTTTAATTGGGAAGTCAGTCAATCCAAGCCATTCTGTGGATTTATTTTAAAAAGTGACCTTTTCAACTTCTTTAGAAGATTTCAAGCAGTGGATGCCAAAGAGAAATCTCTGCCACCATCCCACCCTCCCTTGTTAAAATCTAAAACTCATTACATGACAGCAGCATCATTTGCTGTTTAGTTTCCATTACTGCATCTTACAACACTTGCAAAGTTTCCATTTATTTCCTTATTGCAGTATAACGAATACTCTGAAAATCTGTACCCATTGGAAGATCAAGTATCAGTCTACAACTATTTGACCCAAACTTAAAGCTTGAGGCATAATGGGAGGAGGCCTCACCCTTAAGCTACTTTTCCGCATCCTGGTCTAAATCAGACCTCTAAATCCAAGACTTGTTTCAATTATGTTGAAAGGTATGGCATTTAGCCTCATATTTAGAACCATGAATGGCGAGTTTATGATCAGAATAGTTACTACATTTAGTATTCTATTTATTTGAAGCACAGTAAAAAAAAGTTGGTACACTGCCATCAAGTTAGGGATGTTATACATCAAAAAAACAGCTAAATTTTTTTTGAAACACTGCATTACATAATTAAATTTTACTTGTCCAAACAGACCACTTACAAATATTAGGTCACTAGTTTCTAACATCCATAAAAATGTAGCTTTCTTACTAAAATGCAAGAATTTAAAAGTTGGTGTCTAAACAAGGCAGACAAAAACAAACTGGAATGAAACTACTGGTCACATCTAAAATCGGGGCTTTTTGTTTGGGCCTTCATATTCTTCTCTCCCTCTACCATATCCTGCTGGTGTTCCAGGTCCCATTCCTCTAGGACCCTGGCCACCCACAGGCCCCGCACCTCCCTGCCCAAAGCGTTCAGCACGCTATTGGAACAGTATTAACAGTTCATTATTATGTAGTTGATGTCCATGTGTGTTAAGTATATATTTTTAGAAGGTTCCGTAGTCAAGGTTCGTCGATACAATCACCATTGAGCCGATCCACAGGTACCGGGAACATAGAAAGGAAAAAAGGGTAATTTAAAAATTAGTTTATTGTAATACATGCCTTGAGGTATGTTCCCAACTTGATGCATTCTCATACATCTGTTACAAAGAACAGATACTCCCTGCAGTGCTAGAAATGTAAGCATTAGTGCAGATGTGAATTTACACCCTTTCCAAAATGAGCTCTAGCAATTTTCAACCAAGTTTACGCAAATAGCTTGCAAACTCTCACCTTTAGTTCAGTACAAGTTTTGTTTACGTCAATAAGTTATTTCCAAATAAGCCTAGCCAGAAAAGGCAGATTCAGTTCACTGAAGTAGGAGTTGACATTAATAAAATGTCATTGTAAAGAGGATGCCTACTCACCAGTTAATGGCATGTGCTGCATTAGAGACCATGTGCTTTTCAAGATGGGTTTAAGACTACATCTGCTGACTAAACTGCAGAAGCCTTAAGTAGTAAAACAAACAACTGTAATACAGTGCTACTGGATTACAAGAATGAAAAATGTGAAAGACTAATAAGCAGTGATTTACCTAACCAACACAATTGCTTGATGAAAAGACCTTCATTTATTCTCACATTTTCAGGTCTACTGCTATATAACCAAATGTAAAAATGGGTTCACAGAACTACATTTTTATCACAGTGTTTCAAGTTTGCCCTTTGTGCATTTCACTAGGTGCACCCATTAAAGCCCCCCTCCCTTCCCAACTTCACCACAAGCTCTTGGAAAGTCCACTAAGACTTTACAATTATTGAAAGACTTCATGGACTGTCTCCCATCAGAGTTGTAAGCGCTGAATTGGACTGCAATAAAGCAGAGACTTCAAATATCTTTACTAATGCATCTAGCTGCACGTATTTCTACCAAGCTACCAGATAAGGAGGTGTGGCTGGTAGCAGATCTCTAAAAGTTACATCAATACTGTGAAGTCAAAAGATAGCTTTCAACTTCCATTTCAAATAAAAGTTTCACTACCCCCTAAAAGAACAATAGTAATTTCAGTTTACTAAACTAAGTCTGTAAATACCGATCATGGGTTAATTCAGACTTCTCCAGTTACTGGTATACAATTATTTGAAAGTTAGCTTCAATCTTTCTGAGGAAGGAATTTTCAGAAAATAAGGAGTTTCTAGCTTCTCCATAATTTGTGTCTTCTTTACAAAAGTTTATACACCAGTTAAAACCTAATTGCAATTCTTAAGTTTAATAACAGGGACAGCACTGCGTGGCATAGAGAGCCACGTCCTAGGGAACTTTAGGCAGTTAAACCATCTTAACAGCAACATGTTTTGATGGTATCAAGTTGTTTAAAATATTACACAAAGTTCAACATGCACCTGTACCAAGCCTTTTAGAATGAGGAAAAAAATGTACACAGCATTCACCACAGACTACCTAACTGTTCACTAAACGCTTATGAATTGCTTAAAAATGTTATCAGTAGATTATAGATGCATTAATGCCAGCAGCATCATCTACTGAATCAATGCTTTGCAAAGTTAAATACCATAGGTATGGTTTCCATAAAAAGAAGATACCTGGCAAGCTACTTTGGTAGCACACCATATGAAGCCAGAGGCCTGAGTACAGTCTAACCTTAAACCCACCCAGAAAAAGATTCTCTGCATTTTGTGCCAGAGGGTGCGTACCCTCAATGGGGAGGGTGGAAGCATACCATCATCAACCACTTGACCCAGAACAGACTTCCATCCTATTAAAGCATTGCTGTCAGTACTGCTCCAGTGGGATAGCACCAAGCAGACTCCAACCCCATGCACACATGTAGTGTGCCAAAAATAGTATTGTTTGGAAACATACCTCTAAACGTGAGGTATGCAGTAGATTAAGAACCTGCACCTACAGTCATGCCCAACAAGTGGGAAACAAGAAGTTAGAACAGGCTATCATTATTCCTTTGTCAAATAGGAGTCACAAAATGACTAAGGTCAAGGAGTACTGGGAATATTTAAACATGCCTAAAGCTAACAACTGCATTTCTGCTCTTTTGATATTATGGCAAACATCAGCACACAGCATATGGTGTACTGTTTGCCATTTGATTACTCACAAGTTGACAGTGATGAGTAATCTGTTGCATAAAGATACATGAGAGTACAGATTTGCATTTTGCAGTGTATCAATGCAAGGGTGCACTGATTTTGTAATTAGGCTTGGAAGGATCAGATTTTAATTGGTCTCAGTAATTACACTTTGGAGAACAAGAGTAGAACCACGTAACACTTGCGGACATTTGATACAATTATGAAATAGTTTTTAGATAGAAGAGCTTTCAGCTTGTCAATTCTGTGTCAATTTGTTGTAAATTAATTTCTATGGTAATCACATCTTGATAAATAACCCTTAAATTTTTTTGTTAGAGCAAAAGCTGTTGGAAATCAATCCAATATTTTGAAACATCAAAATGCATGAAAAATCCTTCCAAGCCTAAATATAATGCAGGTACTCAAAACCCAACCAGTAACAGGGTTAACAGCAAATATGCTTAGTAGCACATTTGAATTGGTTTACAGACAACTTCTGTCTAAATGACCATACTCATAAGAACTGAGCTATTACTGTACATACTGCCAGACTAGTCCTTAATATTGCTATTACATAGACTGACTGAAAAAAAAAGCAGTCAGTACTCAAGAAAGATTTAAACCATCTACCATTCAAAAACTGGTAGAGTTCAGAATTTCCTGCCTTAATTCCCCACATACTAAAGTAAAGCCATCACAGGATACATTACCATGTCACTTCCCATCATAGAACCACTCATGGCTGGTTGGCCAACACCGGGACTGGCCTCATAACCTATGCCGCCACCGCCACCACCACCACCACCCATAGGTGGGAATTTCTGAGCTGCTGCACCATAGGGATCTAAGAAAGAAAAATACATAATCATATTCTGCCAAGTTATATGTTAACCACGTAAAGATATTTAGCAATCCTTTACCTCCCATGTTCATTGTGCTGGCACCACCCATTCTCATGTCTCTCTCTCTCTGCAAAGGCAAAAATAGATCAGAATGAGTAATCAATTCTGTCCCCCTTTGAAGGCCTGCATTTCATGAAGCAGGTGCACCATTTAACAGTATCCGTTCACCTACCAAAACTATTTGAGCATTTGTTATTTTGAACTTTTTTTTGAAACTAAGAAAATCCCAGTAGCATCTCAAATCAGTTTAATTATCCATAAACCACAAGGTTTTATTTTGTTTACTTACTGGATCCATGTAACCCATTCTACTGTAATTCTCTTCCCTTTGTCTTCTCATCTGTTCTTCCATCTCACGCTGGCGAATCATCATTTCTTCTTCCCGCCTACGACGTTCTTCTTCCTGCCTGATAATTTGTGTGTTATTATACCTCAAAAAGCACAATATGTACACCTTTAATATGTATATAACCAACATGAGCAACAAAGTTAGCACCTTACAATGTGTGTTGGTGATTGGTGGATGAAAAGGTTAACAAGTGAATTCAACTTCAGTGAGAGCTACAAAAGATTAACCACGTGGTGCTAAGAGTAGTTGAAGGACACCATTGAGAAATATAACATGATTCAAATTTCAAAATGTTTAAGTAAAAAATGATAGCATTTTTACAAAGATAAGCTAGCTTTAACATGCAAACCTCAACTTGAAATTGTATCAGCACATGCCCAACTGTCATTTGCACAAAGAACATTGTTGTAATTTAGTTTTTAGTGACAAAATCTTGTTTATCAAACTCAGGCCTACCTTAACTGAATTTCCTTGCGTTTCTGCATTTCTTGATTATGAAGTTCCTCCATACGCCTCAATTCTTCTTGACGCCTCATAAGGTCTGAAAAATTAGTTTGTCAATATATCCTTTGTACATACTTCTTCTGTTTATAAGTTTTTATTATCACAAAGTGTTACCTCACCTCAACCATTTACCCTAGCCCCATTTAAGCTCTACATGGCACACAACTGATACTGAAACGTGACCGCTTTTCTCATCAATTACAGTCATTGATAAACCATTCCCCTTTTAAATTACAGTTGGCCAAACAGAATTTGAGCTATGCTCAAAAAAATTGAAAAACTGACAACTTTGTGGGAAGCTTTTTCTCCTCATAGCATCCTACTGAGCAACGAGAATTCCCAGTCTCTCAGAGCCACAATAACTCTGTAAATCCAGAGTACACAAAGCCAATTTTTAGGCTCCCTTATTTTTATGCAAAATAAAATTTACAGGGAGCAGGAAGCAAGATGTAATGTAAGTTGCAAGCTACTTTTTAAAAACAATTCTCAAGCTCCACCTGTTTACTATGGATCAGTTCATGAAAACCTAAAATACAAACATCCATATAATAGGACTATTTGTATAGATAGCACACACAACTAGAAAACAAATGGCAACAGAAGAATTAGTGCCAATCACCTTGACGCAAGAGATTTGCCTGATGTTCATGATAGGCATCTTCCATTTCACTTTCAAGTTTGTCCTTGGCATCTTTCATGTTTTTCTCCACCTGATCTCTTTGCTGTTTTTCCATTTCATCTAAGGATTTCCACCTCTGGGAATATTCAAATTCAAAACTGCCATGCTGAGCAAAGCGGGGTGGAGTTTCTCTTTCCCTACAAGTGGAATAGAAAATATTCACTAATAATGAATTTAAAAGACAGTTAAAAGACAGAAGTTGAGTAACAGGTTCACTTAAATACTCAGTTCCAAATTAACCAGTTTCTTCCTAAATCACAGTATTTTCAAGAAATGTTTGAATTACGCTTAACAATAGAATTTTAAAGACCTTTTTAAAATGCTGCTGCTGACACTATATATTCTACCACAGGCCAGATGTTCAGAACAAAGAATCTAGAGAATCCCGTGGTGTCTTCACTGTGGTGAGTCGACTGCTCCCCCGTCAACACTGTCGACACTGCCTGCACCGCTCGTAGCAGTGGAGTACCAGAGTCGAAAGGAGAGCACTCGGGACCCGATTTATCGCATCTAGATTAGACACAAATCAATCCCCGCTGGATCGATCACTGCCTGCCAATCCAGCGGGTAGTGTAGACATACCCCCAGTAATAGCAGTAGTAATTTCTTTCAGAAAATTAATGACCAAAGGAGGAACACATTGTCAGCTAGGTCCAAAATATTTTTTTAAATATTAGAATTAGGAAAAATTATGTCTGACAGTTAAACAAAAGACTCTGCCCAGAAAGAAAAGTAACTTAGTAGCTGGACTAAGAAAGGGTATTTACACCCACAGCTCATTGAAAAGTCAAATGATATCCACACCATCACTGCAATTTTCTGAAAGATCGTTTTTCTTTAAACTTTTCTGAATGTGTTGGCTTCAGACTATTAATATTAAAACATTTCATTAAAGTGGCATCAACTTGAAATCATTTTTAATTTTTTTTTCAGAAGTCCAGTCCCATTTTCAATAACGATTTGGGTACACCTGAACATTTTACCCAGCATTAAATACTACAAAACTACTGCTCCAATGTTTGTGGTTTTGCAATTTTTTAATTTCCTTCTTCCCTGTTGCTGTGTGAAAACTGCCAAAGTGCTGTGAAGTGCACAAAGCAAGCAAAGAAAAACATTTTTTGTTTTCCTTGTAAAAATAGTAGAGTAAGCCATTTTAATACAGACGGGTGATTTTTAACTTAACATCCTTTTAGTGGATAAAAAGAAAAAACCTATGAGAGGTTGTCAAATTCAATGCTGGCTTCACATCAAAAATTTTATTAAAACTAATGTTTAAAAAAATTATATAATACACAGGTTAATAAACGAGTGTCTGTACATCTGGGTATAGTGCTTATACAAAGTTTGTTTTAAAAGTCATAAGATACATATGCTATCATATTGTAAATAGCATGTACTGTAATATATTTGAGATCAATATGCGTTATCTCTATGCGGGGAAAACAAAGAGTGCCCCTACTTTTGATACATTGGATTCTTCTGAGCAAGCTTTTCTGGAAGACCATCTTCATCATCCAGTTGTTCAAGTGGTTCCACAATAACTGGCCTAGGAGTACTAAACAAAAACAAAAATCAGATTTTTTCAATATGAATGCGGGTTTTAGCTTTTAGAAGAAAATTTGTTTATAACTATTATCACTTAAGCTAACTTGTGATAAAACAGCAAGAGACTAAATAAACATTTACCTCTAACTGCCATGTTTAAATAAGCTACATTTCTATATAGTCAAACAGCTTACGTTGTCAACAAGAATACTCCTTCGGTGCACCGTTCAAATGCCTTCCTTGCAGCTGGCTTAGATGCAAATTCAACAATGCCTTTTCCTGTTGATCTGCCACGATCATCTACAATCACAACAGCTCTTTCAACTGGACCAAACTGTGAAAAAGCTTCCTCCAATAACTCATTGGACACATAGGGTGAAAGGTTACGCACAGACAGAGCAGCAGCATGTGTGGCAAAACGAACTCGAAGCTGTCGGCCTCTCATAGGAATATCATCTAGTTCTGCCTTCGCAATTTCAGCCAGTGCTCTGGATTCCTGGAAAAATGTAATGAGACCCAGTTTCAACAAAACAATTGTATTGCTGTAATTTAGCTGAACAATAACAGATTTAAATGGCTATCGTATGAGAACCCACCAATTTAATGAATCCAAATCCTTTCCCTTTGTTGATAAAAACCTCTCCAGGCTCCCCATATTTAGCAAATAATCTTTTGAATTCTTCATCTGTAATATCAGCAGGCAAGTTCCCCACAAACAGACGGCAACGTTGGGTGTAAGTCTTCTCTCCAGGTCGCCTCAGAAGAGAGAGATTTGCTTTAAAGCCCTACAAAAAAAAACAGAGACCAGTTCAAGCTTTTTTTATACCAGTTACAAGCCTTCAATCAAAGGCGCTCAAAATAGATGCCCACCCTCTTCCTCACGGCACAGGCTCCACCCGCCAATCCCACGTCGCACAAACCAATACGAACAAGAGACCACAGGTACCTCAGCCAGCCCTGGAGGTGGGACTGGGGTTAGTCACCAACCTGTGCCGACGCGGTCTGTCAATCCCGCATTTTGCCAAGGCCAGGCACCCTGGGCAGGGAAAAGCCCCGTTCAATTGGGACCATCCCACCTTCCCTCCCCAGGGCCACGTCCTCCCGCCCCCCGGCCCTCGCCGCCACCCCCGACAGCCCAGCCCATCCCCGCCTCGCCCTCCCCTCGGCTCCCTTCAAGATGGCGTCGGGCGCGCGGGGAGTCCGAGCGCGGCCGCCGCCATCTTGTAGCTGCGGGGGAGGGGAAGGGACTCGACTCGACTCACCTCGTCCGTGGCCTTCTCGCCGCTGCCTCCGGCCGAGCCCTGCTGCAAATTGAGGCTCTGCCCTGGGTGCTGCTGGCCCTGGCCGCGCCCGCGCTGCTCGCCGCCCGGGCCGCCGCGGTGTCCCTGCCCCCCCCTTGGGGTGCGGGCCGCCGGGGCCCTGCTGGGGCCCCCCGGGCCCTTGGGCCCCCCGCCCGGAGACTGGCCCGGGCCTTTCTTGGGGCCGACGGCAGGGGTGGGGCTCGGCTTCGGCTGCGCCTGTGCCCCAGGGACGGACGGGGTGGAAGGGGGAACGGCAGCGGCGGCCGCCTGGGCCTGCGGCGGTTGCTGTCCCGCGGCCGGTGTAGGCCCCGCGGGGGGCCCGGAGCCGGCCTGGCTGCCGGACGGGCCCGAGGTAGCGGCAGGGGCGGAAGAGGACGAGGCGGGCGGCGTGGCGGTCGAGACGGGCGGCTTCGGGGGTTCGGGCTTAGGGCCCCCGCCAGGCGGGCCGCCCCCCAAGGGGCCGCGGTTCTGGCCAAGACCCATGCCGGGCGGTGGAGACCGGAAATCATGGTTGGGGCCTCCCCGGCCTCCGCCACCCCCTCCGCGCCGGTGGAAACCGCCACCGCCTCGGCTACGGAACCGATCCCGAGACATGGTGCCGCTACTGCTCGTCTCTCCTCCGGCTCGGAGCCCTGCGCACAAAATGGCGGCTACGCCGAACGGCCTCGCCGGCGCCTTTGTCCGCCCCTTATATACCTTCTCCTCCCCCGGAAACCACCCTCTATCCCCAAGTAACCAATAGAGATCCGAGTTGGTAAAGACTGATAGGTCTAATAGCCAATAGGCCGCACGTCTTATGCCACATCTTTTCTCCCGTTGGTAGGAAATCTGCTCCTTGCTGATTGGTCCGTTTGACCTCCGAATACCCGACGGTATGATCCGTTATACTCTTGTGTGCTGATTGGACAATTTGACTGGCAGGCGGGTCGGATATTAGCCAATCTGTATTACGATTGGATGGCAGCGGAGTCACTCATGCTACTAAGCTACCGGCTCTGCAGGGAAGACGAGGAGTCCGTCAACTGCCACAATGTAACCAAGGGCTCAGCTATCCGCCATGCAGCCTCAGCCACGTGGTGCGCATGACCCTGAGCTGCCCGGCTCGCATACCGTGTGGTGTGGAGGAGGGGGTCTGCTCTCTGGCTGTGTCAATGGCTAATTAATACCCACACAAAATAGAGGGGCGGCCACTGATTGCTACAAGAGGTCCTATAATAACCAAGGAAGACTGTTCTTGTGATTATAAGGCACTGGTCTGGCACTCAGACTAGTGGGATTCTCTGTCAATCATAGAATATCAAGGTTGGAAGGGACCCCAGTCCAACCCCCTGCTCAAAGCAGGACAAATCCCCAGACAGATTTTTGCCCCAGATCCCTAAATGGCCCCCTCAAGGATTGAACTCACAACCCTCGGTTTAGCAGGCCAATGCTGAAAATTCTGTGACAGACTCACTGCTACCTTCAAAAGCAACTTCTGATTGGGATTCGTCCATTTCTTGGTCCCCACTTTAGGCTGATTTTCACAGGGGCTGAATATCCCCAGCTCTAGCTGAAGTCAGTGGTATCTGTGTACCCAAAAATCAGAGGCCACTGTTGAATATATTAAACTAGATCATAGGCCCTTCTGTAAAATACTATCTCAGTGGGGAATGTGTATGTCTGAGTTGCTCTGAAACTACAGTTACATGTCCATAGAAGAGATTATAAATAAACGTAAACAATAAATAAATGGTGAAATAATTGTAGGCACAATATAAAAAAGCATCAGAATGTAATAACATTTTAATTAGACATCTGTTATGTAAGTTTTTAGTGCTATTGAAGGTGGGTGGTTTGGAAGTCTTTCATTTATCCACGGAACAGTTGGTTGGGGAAAATGTAGGGGATTGCAATCATTAACATTTTTATTAAATTTAACCTGATCTACAGCTCAGGAAGGCATCACAAGTAAAGCTGGGTAAATAACAGATTATTGGTTTGCTGGCAATTTTGAGATATTGAAAAATCATTTCAGATTGGAAAATGTCCAGCAAATCAAAAAGTTAAAGAATTGATTTTAGGTCAAATTTCCTTGTGACCATTTTTAAACATTTTAAAATTATTTTAAATAAAATAAAAGGAAATGGTGTCTGGGCACCCAACATCAGAAGTCACTTTTGAACATGTTAGGCAACATCTTTTTGTACCAAATAGGTCCTTCTGTACCATACTTCAATATCTCTGTGGGGAAAACTGAAATGTTTCCTTTCAAAATGTCAAACAAAACATTTTGATATTTTGGGGAGGGGATTTTTTTGTTTTTTCCTAAATGAACTATTTGGCACAAATTAACAAAACATTTTGGTGTCACCAAATCTGCATTTTTCACTCCAAAAAAAGCTTAGTGTGAGAAATTTCACCCAATTTTAATCACAAGTGAAAATTTTCAAGTTAGAAAAATAAAGCCATTTAATGAACCCATGCTATTATATAGAACTAGTCATTACATTTAAGCTGTGACCTTGAGCTTTTATCCATTTTATCCAACTGCTAGATTTTAGTACCAGCCCCAAGATGGGTGTACGGTAAAAACCCATGTCAACTAGCTGGTGGAAAAAGCAGATTTGGGACCCAAAAATAGTAACAGGGGAGCCCCACTAGAGAGTTACTACACAGATCACTACTCCATAATACTGCTGTCACAACATTCTGCAGATCAATATAGACAGTAGGCCAAGGTGGATAGCACCATTAATGCAATGAAGTTACATCATGGACTCATTTAGTTTGCTATTATTAGAGGTATTCTATAGTTTTAGTTTTGAGTGTTTCAATCCATGAGGATTTGCAATTTCTCTCCCTCTCCCCTCCGTTTCACATTCAATATTAGGTTGAATATTAGGAGACCCAAAACTCAAAGCAAAACTCAATCAAAACCAAAAGTTTTGCTTGATCTCACACCGAAACTAAAACATTCATGTGGTTTTGGTGTGAAATTCTAAAGCAGACCCAGGTTTGTTGAAATTGTTTGTTAACCCTTTGGATGATCCAAGGCAGAGCATGGAATTTGTACATGAAACAAAGTTTCATGGATTCCACTATGACTTCTGGTTTTTTTTAAGAGAGATTTCTTACAGCTCTAATTATTTTTCAAAACATTATATACATAACAGGCATGATACTTCAATCGACTTAATTCCAGCAGGATGGAACCCAAAACGATGTTTTAAAATGGATGCTCTCCTGAAATGTGAGTTCCAATTGCCAAGAGCAGTAAACATTTCCACCGCTAGGTGTCTCAGTGGTTGTATGACAGGAGAAAGCGTTTTTTAAACTCAGTCTAACCAAAATACAAATAATTGTCATTTTCTCCCTCACACTGGACTATTTCCATTCAGTAGGCAGTGAAAACAGAGAATATTCAATATATAGTCAATTTCAGCCTTTGCTGTGTCTTAAGTGAAAACTATTTTTAGTTTAGGGAGCTTCAATTTGACAACATTCTTTGGATTAGATACAAAGTAACAACTATGATCATTGGCTACAAGCCTACAGGACAAGAGGAGCATGGAAACAAGGGGCAATTCTTGGGACCAACACTCAATGTATTTTTAGTGTCAGGATGCTGTGTTCATGTGGGATGTAAACAAGATATCTTGTGACTAACAAAGACAGCTAAATAGGCAATATCAAGGACATCCTTGAGTTGCATAAAAAACAATTTTATAACTCCATAAAGCAGGGATTCCAACTAGGGAAGACTTCAACCTAGCTCTATCGGGAGGAACTTCCTGGGAATACGAGAATAATTGGGAAGGTTGGACCAGTGACCACACACGCAGTATTTGTATTGAGCATAGTAAAGAAGGAATTCATAGAACGCTGTAGTACAAGGCATTAAACTTCAAGAAAACTCATTTTAGGCAATTATTAAATCTGGTGAGTAAGGTGCAGAGAGAGGAATTATTAAAATCCACGTGTGTGAAAAAATGCTAGGGAATCCTAAAAGACACTATAAATGAGGCACTACAACTACAGTTTCTCTGAAAAGAATACAAGGAATAAGAATCAGTCCATACGGCTTCCCAAGGTGTTCTGAGGTCAATATCCATATGAACTGGAAATAGAAAAGGAGGAGGCAACCAAACAAGAATTCTCAAAATCAGTTAAGGTATTCAAGGAATATAGAAAAACAGCAAAATAAGCTAATGCTATCGAATGGGCTAAGAGGGCTTTTACAAATATAGAGGAACATGGCATATAGGGAGAAAGAAAGTACATTAATAAATAAATGAGGAAGGGGATTAAATTAGTGATTTGAAAATAGCGGAGATAATAAACTGCTTTTTAAAATGTCACCAACAAGAAATAAATGTGGCCAGATTATCCCACCTCAAAGGACTATCCACAGGAAGGGTGCAGAAGAGATTGAAAACTCTATGCTGTTTGCCTCATGGAGTTTTCAGGGAATTATCACTTACGTATGACTTTGCACTATTAAATTTTATCCCATTTCATTCCAGTTTCAAGGTCCTCCAGATCTTCTTTTACGATATTCTGCTCCTACTTTGTATTGGCAATACCTCCCAACTTTGTGTCAACTGCAAATTTTATTAGCACACTCCCACTTTTTGTGCCAACGTCATGAATGAAAACGTTAAATAAGATTGGTCCTAAAATTGATCCCTAAGGAGCTCCACAAGTAACTTCCCTCCAGCCTGACAATTCACCTTTTAGCATGACTCACTGTAGTCTCCCCTTTAGCCAGTTCCTTTCAATTCTCATATTAATCCCCATCTTCTCCAATTTAACTACTAATTTCCCATGTGGAACTGTATCAAATGCCTTACTAAAATCCAGGTAGATTAGAGCTACTACATTTCTTTTATTTAAAAATTCAGTTATCTTCTCAAAGAAAGAGATCAGATAGGTCTGACATGATTTACCTTTTGTAAAGGCATATTGTATTTTATCCCAATTACCATTTATCTCTGCACGGGAAGTGCAGAGAACAAGCCAAATTGAAGAAGTGGCCAACTATTTGTATGCAAAGACTTGTCAGGAAATCTTTGCAGAGAATAGTTCTTAGGAAAGTGCTCATGCATTTGAGGAGGAACAGAAATATTGTGTGTAAGTGCAATGGTCCAAATTTATCCCTTGTGTAACTCTACTAAATTCACTGGAGTTACTAGGAATTAATTTGACACATTATGTTTCTTCTATATATTTAACAATTTTCTTCTGGTAATAATTTGTATAATCTTAGAAAGACTAAATAAAATGGTTAAACACTTATATGAATAAGAACAGCATCTGCAGTGACAGAAGCATGGATGACTATTATAAAGCTCTCAGTCCTCATGCTTCAGCACATAAGAAGGTTGACATCTAGGTCAGGAAGAAACCCCTGCTTTCTCCCTGCACCTTCCCCCACTTCCTCATATACATGACATAGGCCACAAGCCTTCAAAAACTTACACATGTGCTTAAAGTTAAGCATGTTTGTAAATCTTGACAGAACTGGGGCCATAGTGCATAGCACAAGTGACCTGTGACACAGATTAATTCCATTCCAGTCTCAAGAATTCATGAGCCAATTACCACATTACAGCCAATTACCATGACTGAGACCTAGAGCCATGATTTTCCATGGAGTTAATTCTGCTCTCAGTTAGACCTATATAAATCTAGACTAACTTAA